GATCTAATACTATTTCAGGTTTTCTTTATTTTAACATCAAAAATTCTTTACATGTAAAAAAAAAGAAAAGGAAAGGAAAAGACAGCTACGTGAACGTTCTCAGCTAACACATTCTCACTCCCGACTCGTCACATRTTGACGCTTTTCCAAGGTTCCCTCTGCGTCTTATTCTGACGCGTCGGGTACACCCGTCGCAGCAGTTTTTAACACACCAGGCATTTCCGTGTTCCCTCGACATCCAGGTTTGACGTGTTGGGACGCAAAATATAGGGGTCTTTGAGTTGGGGTCCGTGGTTAATATTAGGGATCAGGGTTAATGGTTAATTTTAGGTAGTGGGACCAGGGATAGGATGTCTAGGGTGAATATTAGGTAATTTTAGGCTTTGGAACACGTAGTTCACGTTAATTTCCTACACTTTCTAAAAATGGTTATTTTTAGGGATCAGGGTCAGGGACAGCATGTCTAGAGTGAATAAAGGTAATTTTAGGCTTTGGGACGGTAGTTTTGGTGCATTTTCTACACTKTATGAAATTATGACAAYGGATTCCGCCCCATCTCGTCAATAACTGAYGCGYGGGGGTACCCGACACGTCAAAATTGGACKCAGAGGGAACCTTGGAAAAGTGTCAATATGTGACGACTTGGGAGTGAGAATGGGTTGTCTCAGCAGCTAAACTAACTTGGGAGTCGTCTTTAAGCTCCGTAAATTTTAAGAAGCATTGTGTTTCTGTCGTCAATGATTATCCAAGTCTGGATGAGCCAAACTTTTGTCCTTGGGGTACAAAAATTTCTTCCCGAGTTGTTTCGGAGAAGAATACAACAAACAAACAAACAAACAAACAAACAAACAAACAAACAAACAAACAAACAAACAAAACAAACAAGCAAAAAATGAACCTGAAAACTTTGAATGCTGACTCAGCATCAGTACGTCTGAGTCTGGTCTTTGAACAGAAACTAGTTACATCCTGATCATGAGATCGAGAATTAATRTTAGTTTTCAATTGAAAGATTAAAAAATTCTTATTATCAGAAAAACAGCTGACTTTGATCTAGATCAGCAGTCCTCAATTCTGGTCCTCGAGGAGCTGCTGTCCTGCATATTTTAGTTGTTTCCCTACTCTTTGGTGGGTCTTCAGGTTCTGCAGCACTATAATCATTTATTCATTTAAATCAGGTTTGTCAAAGCAGAGAAACRTTTCAAATTTAGTGGTTTCTATCAACAAAAAAAACTTTGTAAACCAGTTTTATTCAGTCAAACAAGAGATMAGGACAAATATAATCCTAGGACAGAAGGGAAATATCTTAAATTTGAGACTTTTCTCTGCTTCGACACATGAACGAGTGATTGTTGTGCCTCTGCAGAACTTGAAGAGTCATCACCCATTCAGTTTCAYGGACCAATCTGAAAGTTTGAAATGACCGTTCATTAACGGTTTTTAATAGAAAAAAGGCCTCACTTGGGTCTAGCTTATGTTTTTTTTTAAAGACAGACAATGTTCCAGTGAGTTCATATCTTCCAACATTCTTCCAGCATTCTTTGGGATTAACCGTACAGCACTTTGACTCTGGAGCAGAGCTACTGCGGCGGTGGCGTCGGACATGAAGAGTATCAGGTGCCTCCCGTCGTTCGGGGCTCTTGTCTCAAACAAAGATGTGTGAATTGAGCGACAGCGACACATGGAAGCAGTAAAAAAGACGAGCATGCCATCACTAGGGCGAGACATACTGATCCTCCGGGTTTTGGAGGCTGGAGTAAAGACAAGTCAGTTGTTYGTGTGGAAAATACATGCATCTTCAGTCAGTAATCCTCTGTTCTGTTTGTGTTCTGCATAGCTAGAAGGACTCCAGGTCATTCTTCCGGCACGTTACCCTGTACATCTGTGCTGGAGGATCTCTGAATCTCCTTGTGTCTGGTTCTGGAATCCCGTTCAAGACTTTATGTCTTAAGTTCATTGGTTCACGAGTTCTACATCCAACGCTTTGGATCATTTCAGACCTACAGGTTAAAACAGCTCGCCCACCCTCGCCCGCTGCTTCAGCATTTYCTGACCTGACAGTGTCTGAAGGCAGAGGGGCGGGCGTCCAGAACGCAACCCTTGGACAGTTTGCCGTTATGGTCCTTACACTGCACYGTCCGGCTCTGCCAGCCTGTGTCGCAAGTCCTGGAGCACGTCATCCAAGGGCCGGTTACCCATCTGGGCCCRGGAGTTGGGGTTGATGGACTGGGAGGTGTAGGTGTTTCTGGGACCACGGTGGGGGCGGTAGAGGAAGATGTAGTGGTGCTGATCGTGGTGGTTCTGGTGGTGRTTCTGGTGGTGGAAGACGACACCGTTGTGGTGGTGCCCTGTGAAGGGATCAACTTTGAAATGAGTGGCTGCTGGGGAGCGGTCAGCCGCGGCATAAAGAAGCTGTAACGGACGTCCAGGGGCTTTTTGGCATCCGTTGCTAGAATCTGGATCATCAAAGGTTCTTTCAGAGCCCCGGGCCCCATGCTGTGGAGCCCCTCGTCATGCTGGCTCCAGCCGCTGTAGTTGAGCAAAGAGCCGTTGAGCGGGATGATCGTTTCTGAGGTGGAGATCATGAACCTGCCGTTTAGGAGGTAGTCRCCGTTGGGTCGTCGGAGGGCCAGGTAGGCGGTGAAACGGGTCTGGTCTTTGGCCTTGTACTGACGGACCTTGATGTGGGTGGAGCCTGCGGGGATCTTCACTACATCGGTGTAGCCCTTGCTGTTTGGTAAAACAGAGCAGATGAAGAGTCAGATTGATGCCTCATACATGATGCTCTTTATCATCGCTGGCTAAAATTTAGTACTGCTGAGGTAAGAGCGAAYAGAAGTGCCAAATGAGCTCATAGAGAAATGTGGAAACATTTAAGGTCCAACATCGAACAACTGAGGCTCTTTAGAGAAAACAAACAGGAGTTGTACGACTAGAACTCAAAAGTTAATAACACGAACATCAGTTCAAAATGTCATCTCATTTTCTTTTAAACTTCTGACCTAATCAGCCGTCTGAGCAGTGATTCAGAGGCTTGAGCCACCATGAAGTGGGTTCTTTGGTTCATTTGGAGAAATAGACTCTAGTGTTGGTTATTTCCTCAGAGTTCAAGACTTGGACCTCCTCATGYATCACTTATCTTGTTGATTAGAAACAGCTTCTCAGCTAAGTGTCATACTGGTAGGATGTTAGTGAGGCATTTAGGGACATCTGTACATTTTTTATTGGACTGCGCCTGTTGATGGCAAGTTGAAAACACAAAATATACAAATTCTCACTTGGACTTTCAATGAATTGTTACACAGGATACATTTCTATATGTGGAATGGTCTGCCTGATGTGAGGGCTGCAGAGAGTGTTGCTGTTTCTAAGAGCAGACTTAAGACATATTTTTAACTGTATTCCTTGAACTGTATCTTTCCTGATCACTACATTTTATTTATTTATTTTTATTAATTTTTTTTTTTGGGGGGGGTAGGTGGGTATAGTTGTTTTTTATGGGTTTATTTTGCATAATTTTGTACAGCACCTTTAGCTGCTTTTAGTATGAAGCRTGCTTTATAAGTAAATTTAAATTTAAACTTAAACTAAATGTATTTGCAAATAAATTTGCCCAACATTACTGCAAATAATAACAAATGTGTTGCAATTGAGGACAACTGATTGCAGTTCTTTTTATTTTGAGACTCACATAACCTCACAGTTGTCTCACATTTCCTTTCCGGGTCACACCCTGGACTTGTCTGTGGTCCATCACATGGACATGTGGAGACAAACAACTACTCAACACTCTCACTCACCCCTAGGGTCAATTTAGAGTTCCCAGTTAATCTAAGATGCACATTTTTGTGGGAGGAATTTGGAGTGCACAGAGAAAACCCATAGGTGCATGGGGAGAACATGCAAACTCCACCCAGAATGATGCKKTGATCTTATGGCAGAGAGCCGACAGCTCTAACCAGTGCGTCACCCAACAATTTTATACTCACACAAGATACACAAGATCATTTGTTTCACGAATTTCTTGAACATGTTCAAAATTCTTGTAAAATGAGAGCTCGTCTCTGCAGMGGAACCAATGAAACAGAGAACACTTGCACATTTTTTGAGACGTTTGGGAAACAACCCCTCACGAATGATGTTCATAGTTTAAACCTGAGGGTGATATACGTAAGAATTAGGCAATACTTTGGGAAATAAAGGGTGCGTCAAAAGTCTCAGGACACCCTTTTGTTACAGAAACAAAAGGTAAAATAAAATATCTGAATACTCCAGCAAGTAATGAGTGAGGAAGCCTATCTTTTAGGCTTGGCCAGAACATGGTTGCCACCTTGAAAACCTATTGGATCAAGAGCAAGTTTTTCCAAAGATAGGCTCCCCTCATCCATTCCTTGTTGGGGTACTCAGATATTTCCTTTTTTTTTTGTTTCAGAAATAAAAGGGTGTCCTGCAACTTTTGACCCAGACTGTACATAGTTTATATACAGTATTGTGTAGGAACAGAAGTGCAGTGAGTGTGGTGCATTCAAAACTTCTGTAAAAATGGCAGCTCTGCTATCCTGGTGTCACATCTCATGACAGAACTATCGGACATTATAACGACAAAAAGGCTCTGCTTAGACTTCCTCCAAAACATTGGAAAAGCATTATTATTATGTATTTTTAAGGATGTACAGTGTGACTCAGTCTGTCTTTTGAAGTCTTACCTTCTCTTTGTGAAGTTCCCAGCTACCCGTACACATCCTGTGCTGTCCCCTCCACATATACCACACTTGTCAAACTGGAGCCGGGAGCCAATGATGCCGTCACAGCCCGTCCTCACACATTTCCCCTTCACACACACCGAGCTGCTGTGAGGGCGACACTCCGTCCCATCGATTACCTGAACACAAAAAGCAACACAGTGTCCAACATCCTCTCTTTTTATTTGTAGACTCACACCTGAGCTGTGCAGCTTACTCACCCGTTGAGAGAACACCACATAGTAGCCCGTCCCTTTCGCTCTGCAGGTTAACTTGCACACGTCTTTAGGGGAGACTCCGGCATATTTCGGCAGCCACTCCACAAACGTCTTTGTTCCTTTTGGATCTGTTTGGGGACCGTTGCGGACTTCGCACTGCTCCTGGCGGAAACTCTTACCTGCGGAAGAGTACCGTTGTAAGACGTTAGCAAAAGACGGGAGGGTTTTTATTCTTGCAATCACCATTGCGTTCTCTTACTTGCTGCGGGGCACGGAGTGACGTTGCAGGATCGGTAGATGGCTCTTTTCCCTGTGCAGTAGCGCCCGTTGTTCCGTGGCGCGGGGTTGTTGCACAGGCGCTGCGCGAACTGGACACCCCCTCCGCAGGTCCTCGAGCACGAACCCCAAGAACCCCAGGAACTCCAGCTGCCATGGTTGGACACCTTGGTGGAGAGAAGAGTCAAGTATTATGTGAAAAGTAGAGGGGTGCGTAGATAATCTCAGATAAAAGAGGGAAGTCTGAAGGATGGAGAGGGAGGTGAAGATAAGAACAGAAGCAGACTTTTCTCACACAATGTTGATATGAGCCATCAAGGATGAAAATGACTGGATAAGTGGAGCTTTTTGCGAAAGTTTTCAAATTTCCTTCCGTGGCTGTCTTTATGGCACTTCTTTCTGTTGTAAAATGTTTTTAAATCTGAAGGGAAACTGCACGAAATAAAGAYTTCAGTAGTCTAAAATGGAGCGGGACGGTTAATGTTATGAGCTGCWAAGTGAAAAGCAGTGAAAATGAAGCCGTTTGGGCTGCATCCACTCGTGCTACMGTCTGCCAAACATCATGTGACAAATAAATATTTTCCGCCTTAGTGCTTTCTGACTTTCAGCGTTCCCTTTTTTGCTCTCCACCGCGAGCCTGCCAARAGCAGATCTGTTGTCTTCAGAGATAAATTTAATTTAGATGCGTACAGATTAGGCCACTCAGASAAACCTCCTTTTCAAATCGAGCCCCCAGCGCTCTACTCACCGAGTAATGCTTCTTGCGGGTCTTGTCCACGCACTTTCCCTGCAGGCAGATTCGACCCTTCCCGCAGGGCGTCCCCTCCACYGCCGGCAGCTTCTTGGTCAGACACACCATCTGCCCCTGGCGGATCACGGCGCACCACAGCCGAGCACACACATCCATGCCGGGGCAGACCGTGTACTCGGGCCCGAAGGCCAAGCGGCACTGGCGGACGGCGTCGTAGCTCTGGCCGGGGAGCTCCTCTGGACCCAGGAGGGGCTGGCGAGGAGTGTCGAGGAGACATTCAGCTGGAGGGCGGGGGTACAGGAGGTGTGAGCTTTAAACATCATCCACAATAGCTGGATTTTATTAGTGGGACACGAGTTACGCTTGAAAGTACAACCAATACCACCAAAGTGGATTCCTTCTGCGTTAAAACCACTCCAGTGTAAAAAAAAACTCATGTAGACACTATTTTCTGAACCTTCTTGGCTTTATTTGGACTTGATATCAGTGGTCCTCAAAAGGTCCACTATCCGACACGTTACATGYTTTCCTGCTCTCCAGAAGTGTCTTCAAGTTCTACAGAAGCCTGTTAATCACTTATTTATGGAGATCAGATGTGTTGAAGCAGAGAAACATTCACAACATGCAGGAAAGTGCTCCTCGAGGACGGAGGACCCCTGCGTCAGTCTGGTCAACAATAAATCAGTTTCTCCAAATGGAGGCAATTCAAAGAGCTATCTACAARTAAAAACACCCCTTTTGATAACCTTGCCAACATTTCCACTTTAAARGATCTGCGCTATCTCTTTAGGGTGCGTCAAACTAGGCGATAAATACTGTCTCATAGTGATGCCATCAAAGGGTGGGTTTTGGYGCTAAATTAGGCCTTCATAAAATTTTGCATAAAACAGATGCACCGCAATAAAGGAAGAGGGGAAACCTCAAACATCCCAGCCCTTTAAATTTCTGCAACTTGGACTTTCATAAAAAAAAAATCCTGGAGCAACGGCAGGAGATACTGCCAAGCCTAAAATTATACTGTTGGAACATGAATTATGCCGAGAGCCTTGGAGCTGCTAACAGCAGTGTTTTATACGTGTCATGAATGAGGCTGCTTGATGAAACCGGACCGCAAAATGACTCAGTTTGATCTCTGGCTGCCCTCCTTAAAGCAGATAATACCTCCTGTAAATAGCTGTCTATTAATAGAGATTGTAGCTTTTTATGGTAGCAGAAAGCTCTCAGATGAGAAAWCAGGCACGGACACAAAGAGGTGCTGGTTCTGTTTTCCCTGCGCTCTCACCGTTGCCGTCGTCGAAAAAGTCGGTGATGGTGGCCGAGGTGCAGCGGCTCCAGGGTTTGGAGGCGTCGATGGAGGTGAGAATGGACGACATGAGCCGCTTGTCGCTGTTCACGCCGAAGCGCTCCTCGCAGAAYTTGGAGTCGTCGTGGGACAACCCGAGAAGGTGACCTGAGGGCGTGAAAGGACAGCGGGTGGCATTATTCTACAAAACAAGGAAAAGACAGTTCTACGCGCAGCCGTCGGGCCGGTGCTGTTCTGAATGAGGCCTTTATGATTCTGTGGGCAGACACAACCCAGTCCTGACCCAGAGGCACATGACGCGGTTCTGGGAAACACGTGATGATTAGAATATGATGCTCTTATCTGATCAAATGAAAACTGTGCTTTTTGACCAAAATACCTCAAAGATTTTAATTTGAATATATT